GGGGGCCTCAGGCGGGGCCCCAGCCTGTGCGCCGGGGCGGCACCTCCCGCCCCAGCCGGCCACCCGTACCTGGGGCGGCTCATAGATGGCGGCCACTTCGGCCCTGATGCCCAGGGGAATGTCCTTGTGCTCCGTGTAGCGGCCGTACAGGTAGCCCACGTGCTGGGCGCCCGTCTTCCTCCAGAAGTCCAGGAAGCGGTCGGCCACCGTGTGGTTCTCGAACATGATGTTGTCCACGTGCCGGTACTTCTGCGGCGGGACAGGGGCGTCAGGGCCCGCCCGCCCGTGCCCGCCCACACGCAAGCTCGAGGGGCGCCTGTTCCACGCCCACCTCCAGCGCTGGTGGGGTGCATCTGTGAATCGTACCTGGGGTCCCCAGGGAAAGGGGAGGCGGCAGGAAAGGAGGGAGACCGAGGGGCGGGCGACGCAGAGCGAGGGCCGGAGGGAGACGGCGGAGGAGCCGTGCGTGCGTGGCCGGCTCGGCCGGGCTGGGGACGAGGACGGCACCCCGGGCACATCGGAGACGCAGGCGAGACCTGGGCAGGCCGGCGCTGGCCCGACCCCACGTGGGCTCTGTGCTCCTGTCCCCCGACTCGCCTGCCTCTGCCCCGCCCCCAGCCCCCGGGAGCTGCTGGGGGGGGGAGTCCTGGGCCCTGGCGGTCCGCTCAGGCCGGCCGGCCTCTTCCTCACACGGGGGCTGCTGACCCCGGCGGTGCGCCAGCTGCTTTGTTTCTCTCCCATCTGTGTGGCACACGCCGGCGGAGGAAGCCCTCCCACGTTAAAATCTTGGGCACCTCCTCCCTGGGGGTGCAGGGGTCACAGCGCCGTCGGCGGCCCCTGCTGCAGGAGCCCAACCCTCAGCCAGGGAGTGACCCCGGGGCAGCGGACCGCCGTCCCCCGCTGCCGTGGGTGTGAGCGGCCCTGCCTGCTCTGCTCCCCACTCTGTCTCTGGGGGGTCCTCTCACCCTGCGTCTCTGGCCTGCGCCCCTATCTCTCACGTGCATAAGTCAGTCAACCTTAAAAAAAAGCCTCGTGAGCCGAAGGGCACACAGCAGAGCCCGCTTAAAGCAGGGAGGTCCGGAGGCCCCAGCGTGCCCCTCCCCCTCCCCCTGCCCGGAAAGAGTGGAACGTGCGGCGCAGGGCGAGGACGGGGGTGTCCCCAGAGGGGCGGCCTGGGCTTGCCCCGGAGCAGACCGAGACAGCGCCTCCCCGAGCCCCCACCGTCTCCAGCTGCGCAGCCTCAGGGCGGCGCGGCCGCGGCAGTCCTGCGTCGGGTCCACCGGCCGCGTCTCTGGCCGACAGAGGCCACACGGGACCGGAGCGCGGCCGCCCGGCCCGGCCCTGCCCCAGCCCTCACCTGTCTGTTCAGCGTGATGGCGCTGGGCTGGCACTTGGTACAGATGCCGTTGGGCCAGGGGAGATGCCCCTCGCACCCCGACTTAATCTTGCAGCTGATGTTCTCCAGGGCCACAAACTTCCCCCTGGGCGAGAAGCGGTGGCGTCAGCAGCGGCTCAGCTGGGCCCGGCCCGGCAGGTTGGGGCTCTCGGCGCTGGCCAGGGAGGGCGCGCAAGGAAGGCGCTTGGCCACTCCAGGGCGGCCGGCCCACGCCCTCCCCGCAGCCCGGCGCTCCCGGCCCAGCCAGCAGCCAGCAGCCAGCAAGCCCCGCGCGTCTCGAGGCCGAGCCTCGCTCCCGGCGGCAGACCCACCCGGCGGTGACGGCGCCCAGGCGCCCGCCGCAGGGCTGACCGAGGCCTCTGCGCAACCGGTCGGCTCCTCCAAGCCAAGCCCAGGCTCGCCCACTGGCTGCGTGGTCAGCTCTGCAGTGGCACGTCCCCAGCCCCTTTTTGGGAGCCACCTGCGCGCGTTGCAGGCTGTTGGGGCACCCCCACGGGTGCACGGAGGCGGCAGGTGCCCCCGCCCCGCTGCCAGTGGACAGTGGCCCGGCCGTGAGGGGCCTTCAGCACGTGCAGCCTCCCCGCTGCGGCCGCGGCTCAGCCGGCCAAGGGGCGGCAGGGGCGAGGCGCAAGCAGCTGTCCGGCCTCCGGGCAGCGGGGAGAGCCCGACGCGGACACGCCGGCTGGCCGTGCGCCACCTGACACCGCGGTCCCCAATGGAGTTGCCGGGTGCCACGTGACCAGGTGAGGCCGGTGAGGCGGCCCCCGGCCTGGTGCCGCCCCAAGAAGCACCTAGGTCCCACTAAGTGCCCGTTTCTTTTCTAGAGCCTGGGCAGGACTTGAGAGCTCGAGCGCCCCGCCCCGCCTCTACCCTTCATGCCCAGCGGGCGCGTCCGGGGCCCCAGTCCGGCTCACTTGTCGGCCCCGCCGGTCAGCTTCCGGATGTAGGCGTGGAAGGACATGTGCTTCACGGGAGGCTCAAGGTGGTGCAGGTAGTCCTCGTCGAAGGGCTGCAAGACACGTGGCGGTCATGCGGGGCCCAGCGGGAGCGCCGGGCGGGGGGCGCAGACTCACCTCCAGAGGCACGCAGTGCACGCACTTCCCCAGGGGGCCGTGGCGGCACCTGACGGGGCAGGAGAAACTCGTGAGGGGCTGCGGCGGCCCGCAGAAAACGGCAAGATCCGAGCTAGCTACGGTCTGCAGGCCTGAGACGGCTGAAGGCCAGGGGCGCTCAGGGACAGTGTGCGGCACTGGCCAGCTCCCCAAGACACGGTCCAGCGTAAGGGCCCCCTGCTCTTTGAAAGTGTCCAGACACTGGAGGCCCGCGGAGGGCCCCCTGGGGGCGAGGGGGTGTCTCATGCTGTCAAGCTGTCGCCAGCCACCACAGCCTGAGTTCACCCCGGCCAAGGAGTGACCTGCAGGGCACGGCACACCCCTGTCTCCCCACTGCCCCCTCAACAGTGGGTGTCAGAGGATCTGCCTGTCCTGCTCCCCACTCTCTTCGGGGAGTCCCTCACCCCGTAACTCTGAGCTGTACCCCGGCCCTTGCGTAATAACCGAGTTACAGATGACCCTCCCCGGAGAGAGAGCCCCGCCGACGGACTTTGCGATCCCGGAAGCGACAGGAGCCTCGCACGCTAACTCGGGGGCTTTACCCCAGAAGGAAACAGTCAGACCCACGCCTGCACCCCAGACTCCCACCGCCCCGGGCACTTACAGCTGGGGGTCGCGGCTCCGGTAGATCTTCCCATCCTGCCGGCTGAGGTACTGGTCGATCTCGTCCTCCACCACGCTGGGCGCCCCCGGGGCCCTGAGCCCCAGTGGGGCCGAGGTCTCCATCTCCGAGGAGGGGCCGGCCAGGCTCGAGGGAAACAGGAACAGCAGGTCGCCGTGCCTGTGCCGACAGCCCGTCAGGCTCCCGGCCAGCGGGGTGCGGACCCCAGCCCCGGGCAGCGGCCAGTGCTGGGACCCCAGCCACAGACCTGTGTTCGGGGCTGTCGGCGCCCGCTTCCCCCGCCTCGCTCCTGCCTGCCGCGCTGCCTCCGCACCCCACACCGCACCCCTCAGGTGGCCTTCAGCCCGTCACCGCGGCTTGGGCTCGTGGGGGCCCTGCGGCCCCCTCCACGCCACGAAGCCAGGCCTGGGCAGCGAGAGGCAGCAGCTCTGACGAGGACAGTGAGGGGCGCCAGAGCTGCCCCCGCCACCCCGCCGAAGCCAGTCAGGTGCACCCCCACGCCCGGGGGCAGCGAGGCCTGGGCCCACCCAGCCAGGTGGGGGGAGCCGTCGCCCTCCACCCTGGGGGTCCCCAGCGCCCGCCGGCGGCGTCTGTGTCGCAGCTGGGACAGGACGCCCCGGAGGGGAACCCCAAGGAAGCTGGGCCATAGTGCCCATGCGCCCCAGACACGCACACACAAACGCAGGCCTCTGCGTGCTGCAACCCAGAGCGGGCACAGGGGCGTGCTGTGAGCAGGCCACGCGCGAAGGACGGGCCATAGGCGGCGGGGCCACGAGACCCCCTGGCAGCCAGGTCCGCGCCTCGAGCCCAGTCAATGGGACACGGGTGTCCTGTCTGCCCCGGTCACGGGCCCAGACTCCCAACCGCGGGGGTGCAGCTCCCGGCACACAGAGCTGCCCGCAGGCGTGACCACAAGCCAAACCCAGCATCTAGTGAGCAGGGAAGCCCCGGGGTGAGAGTGGACAAAGGTGACACGGCTGTGACCTTTCCGGACCTGACCCGCAGGTGAGACGGCCGGAGTCAGACGCAGACCTGCCGCCAGGCGGGAGAAGCCGGCCAGCGGGCAGCAGGGGAGTGTGGACGACGCAGCAGGAGCCCCAACCACGCAGAGGACCGGCCTGGGCTGTGCCCCGGTCCTCACCGTCCACTGGTGTGTCGGTCACAAGGACAGTGGCCACAGCGGGGACGCGCCCACCCGCAAGAGGACCCCAGGGCCGAGGGCCCATGGTGCTCCAGTCGGCAGCGGGGGTCGGGCGCAGACAGGCAGGAGGGTCGCGGGGCCCTGCCTGGGACAGCAGTGGGCGAGTCTGGCCGCTGTCCCGTGCGCAGGCTGTGGGCACGGCTGGCTCTGGAGACAGAGCCGGCACACGGGCGGCGCCCGGGACCGGGACAGCGCGCGTGGACGACAGCCGGGCGCCTCCGGGGCTGTGGCACTGCCCAACTGGCGGGCAGGACACGGCCACGGGCCGGGCCGGCCTCTCACTCCCTGCACCTGCGGTGCGCCCGCGGCCAGAGCAGAGCCGGCCAGGGCCTCCCTGTGGACAGCCGGGAGGAGGCTTAAACACCTCAGAGCCCACTGAGCCCTGGAAACTGGCCACAGGACACCTCACACGGGCCAGGCCTGGAGTGGACGGTGGGAGGAGGAGGTGGCCGAGATGACCCCAGACCAGGGGGGCACACAGGTGGACGCTGCCCGGCCATGCTGCGGGCACTCACTTGATTTTCAGCAGGTTGAGGGACTTGGTGGGCGACGCGGTGATCTCCCCGGTCTTGTTTCTGTTGATGTAGACGGAGAAGCCGTTGTTCTGGAAGCCGAACTCCTTCGCCACCTAGGAGGGCCCCACGCACGGAGGTGTCAGTGACGGCCCCGCCGTGGTCCGCCGGGGCCGCGGACGGCAGGGGTGGGGCGGTGGGCCGCGGGGAGACGGAGCGAGCGGGGCCACCGCACGGAGGCGGCCCGTGGGGCCCAGACGTTCGGGCAGGGTGGCGCCTGGTGCAGAGGCCAGGAGGGCACTGGGAGCAGCACAGGTGGGCAGGGAGCGCCCCGGGCACCGGTCACCTGTGCCGGGCAGGGCGGGATGGCGTGCAGGGAGGGCGGCCATGGCTTGGGCCTGCCCTGGAGACGGAGGGGCAGCAGGGACGTGAGGCTGCAGAGCAGGCCGCCGTTTCTATCCCTGGACAGCGCGCGGAGTGACCGCCAGAGACGGTGTGCGCACAGCAGGCCAGCGGGGCCAGGCCGGGCCCACGGAGTCAGGGTGGGAGGGCAGGGGCCTGGGCCTGGGGCTGGGCGAGGAGCTGGGGCAGCTCCCAAGAGGAAGCTCCGAGCGAGGTCAGGTCCAGAGAGCCCCCGGCCAGGGCGGGAGTGACAGCCGGACCTGGTGCACGGGGTCACGGCTGGACATCAGATTCTGAGGCGGGCGGAGAGGTGGGAGGGCTGCCGTGCCCAGCGGAGGGACACCTGCCACCCCAGGACGCTCTCTGGCATAGACATTCGTGCAAATGCGAGGTGGCGCCAACGCCCCCTGGGCAGCAACCCCAAAATGCCCCAGGCCGAGGGAGCGCAAGTGTCAGGGCAGGCGGGCCAGCGGGTCAGCCCAAGTGGCTGGACCCTCAGGAGCAGCAGAGCCTCCAGCGGGGGGCGGGGGCAGGCCGCCTGCGGGGCTCCCCGAGCCTCAGTACCTTCTTCAGAAAGGCTGCAGCCGTCTCCCTCTTGGTGGCTGTGATGCGCTTCACCCCGTCGGGGGACTGGACGCGGATTATCTGTGGCGGGTGAGACACCGCGGCCGCTCAGCCAGGAGCCGCCAGGAGCCGGCGGGAGCCCCCCCACACGCCGAGACGCCTCGGGCGCACCCGGAGGCCCCCGTGACACACTGACCAGGCTTTTCAGGCAGCGCCCTCGTGCTCTGGCGCCCACAGACCCTGGACGGGCCGCGGCGGGCTCGGAACACCTGGGCCCCACAGGACCTTTCACACGGGGGGCGGGGGGGCCGAGTCGCCGGCCCGAGCTGCTGCCCCAGGACCCGCGACGGTCCCCGAAAGGGCAGGGGGTTCCCAGGCCTCTTCGCGTCGTTCACCAGACAGGACAGCTTTGCCCCAGGACTAGCCTCGGCTGAGACCGCTGTGGGCCGACCCCTTCGACCCACCGTCCATACTGCGGCCAGCAGCACGGGGGCTCCGACAGGCTTCCCGGACGCCCTCTGGGCAGACTCCCAGCGGGGGTGGACAGAGGCCGTGAGAGGGGTTGGCGGGAGCGGGCGCGGCCGGAGCAGGCCCAGGGGTCCCAGGTAGGCCGGGGGGCCTCCTGAACTCAGGGTCCCCAGGGACGAAGCTGGGGCTCGGCCTCGGGTCACCCGGCCCTGCACTGAGGCCGCGGCAGGAGCGCGAGCCCGCCTCAGCCCTGCGGCCGCGCCGGTTACTCCAAGGGCTCCTGGCCCCTCTCCAGTGCTCGGTCACCCCAGGCCGGGCGGAGGCCCCGCGGGACGCCGCCCGGAGGCGGAGCGCGGACGCCCGGCGGCCACCGGTCACCCAGTGCCCCGGGGCCTCCCGGGAAGTCCCCCGCCCGCCTCCGGGCAGCCAAATCCTGCTGACCCCCCTTCCGCCCCCCGCCCCGGGGGCGC